ATAGCTCAGACTTATCACTAACTAGTTCTTACAAGTTAAATTAACCCGTTTCTATTAAATTAAGTCACACGTATTGCCATGTGACTCATGACTTTACTTATCCTCTGGCATGTCTTGCTTCCTGGGCAGCTAGCTGGTATCTCTCCTGACTCTGCTCTCCTTCCTATCATTCTCAGCTTGGCTTTCCCCCCTAAATTCCTGCCTAACCACTGACCTGTCAGCTTTTTATTAACCAATGAGAGTAATACATATTCATATTATAGAAAAGGATTGTTCCACAATTGTTGACATTATGGTTATGTCACAAAAGAGGATGTCAGTAAGGGTCATTTTCTAAGGCCATCTTCTACCTACAGCAAAGTAGCTCTCTTCTTTAGGTCTTACCATTTCAGAATGCTCTTCTGAAAACAAATTCTGAAACAGACAGTGGTAGAGCAGTGTCCCCACTGCATCATCCTTCCCAGTTCACAATGCTCTTGGTGGCTGTTGGGTTTGTGTGTGTCTACAAAGTGTAGGGTAGCAAGCTTATGTTAGTAAGTTCAAAGGTTGCATTTTATTTTACTACTAATGTGAAAACCAATTTAAAGCACAACTCAACTTGTTTTATTACTTTCAAATGTTCCTCAAGACCATTTCACAACAAGGAATTTATTGTTTTTTATTTTTGCACAACTTCTACTGAAAGAAAAGTTAGTGTGATGGCTAATCTTATGAGATTAGCATTTGAGACATTAAAGAAGAAAGTAAACACTGTAGGAATTATTTGGAAAGTTTCAAACAGGAAAACGACGTAGTTCAGCTCCTGTTTCATTAAGGAAAGTTTTAAAATTAAATAATTAATTACATTTTAATGTTTATGGGTGTTTTGCTCACATATATGTTTGTGGGACACATGCATGCTTGGTGTCTATGGAAGCCAGAAAAGGGAAGTAGATCCTCGGTGTGTGTTGAGAAATGAACCTGTGTCATCTGGAAGAGCAGACAGTGTTCTTAACCACTGAGCCATCTCTCTAAGAGCTTCAGTTTTCAAACAATGGTGCTGAGGATTACATGGAAAACAATGTGGAGAGGCAGAAGGAGCTCTGGAGTACAGACAGGAGCACTGGATGGAGATACAGTGCAGTGCTCCATGTGAGAGATCTGAAAGATAGTGTTAGCAGTGATGAGTGACAGTCATGAGGCTATCACTTGGGTCGATTTGGGAGTCTTCCTTTCCAAGAAGAATTTTTTGGAACTTATGATGAGATAAAAAGGGAATTCAAAGAAAATTCTAAGCAGTCCAAGTAAGTCACAGGAAGATAAAGGCTGCTTTCAACAATAATGATAGTATGTTTGAGAAAGAACAAGAATGGGGAGAGATATTTGTGTGTGTGCATAAGACCAAAAAGTTGAGTAAGAGTTCCCGGCAGATGATATATGGCTCCATGTAGCTCACACAAGAATCAATGTCCTTTCTATCATAAAGTTTTGCAGTAAGTTGAAAGGCAAGAAAACTGTGCTAAAGTTCAGATTCAAGATTTAGTGAGGACAGCAGAGTCTTGGGAGGTGGAATGAGAGGTGTGGTTTTCAGTGCCATGTACAGCTTCGGGACTCCTTCTGCAGTACACCTTTCACTCCTTGCTTTACCCAACCGCTCGTCAGGAAGGTAACAAGAAGTAACGTGCATTATTTTCTCTCTAGGCAGAGAAAGACAGAAGAAAGCAAATAATAAATCCCTTCATCTAATTTATCAATATTCTAAACTAGAGTAAATATAACTATTTAAAAATTATGTATAGTGTATACCTGAGGGAATCCACAGTTTACCTACAAATTTTTGAATGTCTATAACTAAAGTTTTAAAAATACCACTTCACAGTTTGAATGTTCTAGGTCTCTTCTTGTTAAACAGATTATTTGATTTAGTTTCCTCTTTTTGCATCTGGTTTTTATATGAATTTCCTGGGCTTCCATAAGAAAACACCACAAAGTGGCTTAAGACAAAAGAATGCATTGTCTCACAGTTTGGGGAGCCAAAAGTCTAAAATCACCCTCCCTGAAAGACAGCAAGGAATGATCAGATGTCGATTTCCAGGCTTGTGGCAGTATCACTCCAGTCTTCACATTGCACTCTTTTCAGCTCACATTGCCCCTTCTCATAAGGACAGCAGCCATATAGGAACAGGAGCTCATGAAACTTTTCAGGTATTATTTCTCTGTAACCAATCATACCTGCAATTTTCTCACATACAAGAAAGACCACATACTAAAGTGCTGAGGGTCAGAACTTCAACATAGGAATTTGGGGCAGTACAACACATCTATATTAGTATCACAATATTGTTGGTGCCATGTGATCCCCTAAATTTGGAGACAATGAGAATAGAATTTTCCCATTTCCATAGCTCCTGAGTTGAAAACATGAATGTACAGAGACCCCTTTAAACATAAGTTTGATAGGCCTGATGTTATGAGGAAAACAGATTTTCTGATTACTTGTTAGGTCTATAACTGTAGTTCAGGTCCTAAAGTAGCATCATAATAATCAAACTTATCATCAGGCAGGGAAAAGAAAATGGAGGTCAACTGCAGTAGTGCAGAAGTGTGGCCAGGTGCACAATCACAGTGTAGTTGAAACTTAGGCAGATGTCGGGGTGCAGCGCTTACAAGCAGAGAGGAAGTGTCAAGGATGCTGCTGCTGCTGCTTAAATAAGAAACTGAGGGGACTTTTCCATGTATGAAACCAAATCCTGAGTCTTTATCTCCACAAATTTCTGTAAAAGTAGGATTCATGTAGAACCCTGTAGGAAATCTGAAAACATTTCAAGAATCTTAGGGTTGGGGATTTAGCTCAGTAGTAGAGCACTTGCCTAGCAAGCCCAAGGCCCTGAGTTTGGTCCTCAGCTCAAAAAAAGAAAAAAAAGAATCTCATGATTGTTCTGTGCACAGCCTTCTTTATTACTTAAGTACCTTGCTGTGTCTGAAGATTCAATCCTCAGTTAGGGAAGAAAATAGGGCCAACAACTGTTTGTTCATTAGTCAGACACACACACACACACACACACACACACACACACACACACACACACACACTTAAAAATAAATCTTTAAAACTACCAATCTTAAATATAAGAAAAGAGCAGAGATATGAGTATGTGCCATTGTTCCTAAGGTATTTGAGAAAAAAAATCACTTTATACAGATTCAAAGCTATGGATAAGAGTAAGATATAACTACACTGAAAATGTGACAGGATCTTGCATTTGCAAACAAAGACACTACATGATAAAGTAAAAAGAACAATTCAGGTCCATAGTGTTTATGTGAGACCCACTGAAGATAACCTGTCACTGAAAGGTTAAAGGGATAGTCTTGACAGAAGAGCCATGGCTCTCTATTGAAGGACTATATTGCTGCTTCTGTACAAAGCAATAACAATATTCTAAAAAATTCACTCCCTTCTCAACAATGGCTACATAAACTTTAAATTTCATGCAGAATAATGTTTGTCCTTTGTTAAAGGAAATTGACTAGCCAATATTAATTGATACACACACACACACACACACACACACACACACACATAATTGAAAAGTAAAAGTCTGAGCTGAAGAATATTTTATATTCTTTTTAGTTGTGAAATAGAAGGAGTAATATCCATGCTCTGTGGAAAATGCTTTGATTCTAAGAACCCCATTTGATATTAGTACCAGAAACTTGGCAAATGGTAACAAGGGCATCAGAGTGAGCTAATGCCATGCTGTTTCAGAAGAATATGGTGTTACTGACCTTAGGTGCAGGCTCTGAGTGGCCGAGACAATTAACCCCTCTCAGAATAGAGATGCTTGGTGGGACTTAGGTGGAATACCCACCCGGGGAACTCAGAGTCAGACATCCACAGGAATAAGGAGAAGGACTGTGCTACAACCTATGGGAGGAAAGTAACATCTTCATGGGTATTTTCCTAATTTGTTATTGAGCTTCTGCTTATTACCTCATATGTCCCAAAGAGCAGGGAAAGCAACAACACAAACGAGAAGGTCCTTCAGGCTGAGAGTGGGATCTTTTACTTAGCACCTGCCAAGCACTGTCACTATGCCCATGTTTTTTGTTCTTCATATCAAGTAGAGCTTTCAGTAAGCCCTGGCTCTGCATATGTGGTGGGAATTGCTTTTTCCTGTACCTGAACCACACCTGAACAACAAAAGTTGAGTTACCTCCTTTGGCACTGGATGTGTTCCCTGACCTCAGCTAGAGACTTCTTATCAGCTCATCTAGTAAAGTCCACTGAGGTCATGTACCTAACATGCCTGTACTGGGTGGTTTTGTGTGTCAACTTGACTCAAACTAGAGTCACCAGAGGAAGGAACTTCAGTTGAGGAAATGCCTCTATGATATCCAGCAGGAAGGTATTTTCTCATTTAGTGATCAGTGGGGGAGGTCCCAGCCCATGGTGGGTGGTGCCATGCCAGGACTACTGGTCCTGGGTTCTACAAGATGGTGGGCTGATCAAGTCATTGGAAGCAAGTCAGTAAGCAGCTCCCCTCCATGACTTCTGCATCAGCTCCTGCCTCCAGGATCCAGCCCTGTTTTAGCTCCTGTCCTGACTTACTTCACTGATGAATAGCAATGTGGATGCATAAGTCAAATAAACCCTTTCCTCCCTAACTTGCTTTTTGTTTGTGGTGTTTTGCTGCAGCAATACAAACCCTAATTAAGACAATGCCTCAAGGAAAACCTATGCCATGGTTCTCATTTCATAATTTGCAGAACTCCTAAGGAACGTATAAGGTCAAAACTATTTTGTAATGCATATTTTCCCTATTCACTGTGCTGACATTTGCACTAATATTTTAAGGAAGCAAACCTGATATATAAAGTCTCTGGCATCTTATCATAAATCAGGACAATGGCAATTAGTTCTTTACCACGACTCTAAATATTTAATGCTAATATCACATAAAAGTCCTTGATGGAAAGAAAAAATGACTCCATTTCTGGATCTGAAGTACATCTTTTAATTTACTGCGAATCAAAGAATAAATGTAAGGCATATTCACTGAACAATGAAACTCCACAGAGACTCACAAAGAAAGGCATCTATAATCATTTGGGTTGCAAGATGAACAAGCCATTTATCTTCATGTGCACATTTTCTGCTTGAGACAATGACTGACTAACAAACCATAAGTGTTTAGACTTGAATATTTGTCACACATTTCCTCTGAAATGAACAGAGTAGTCCTGTCACTTCAAAGAAAGGCACAATTCAATGTTTATTGCAAATGATAAAACATGAACTTTCAAATGAGCATTAGTAATTTGAAACACTTTATAAAGACCAGTATAAATGTAACAGCTTCATAACAAAGAGGCTTTTAATATAATCTGTGGTATTAAGGAGCAAATACTATACTGTAAAATAAAATGTAACAATATTTGGGATATTTGTGTTACTCAGTGAACCAGTATCTTGCCAATATCTTATGCATGATATTACCATATTGCCCCAGCTGTTTTCTCACTGATGTAACAGAATGCATGAAATGGTAATTTATAGAGGTCAGGGGCATGTTGATTTCTGATTCTGGAGGCTGGGAAGTTCATGAACAGAGCACCAGCACTTTCTTGGCTTCTTCTGAGTGTTTCCTTGATGAAAGCTGAAAGTTAAATCAGGTACACATAAAAGAGACAAAACTTAAGGTCACTTCCCTTTGTAGGACTTCCTTCTGATGGCAACTATCCAGTAATAAAATAGTCAGAACTCACTTGAGGAAGGCAGGAATACTCCAAAGACAAATCTCCTTAGGACCTAAACAATTCTTATGAGGTTCTAGCCCCTACACATGCAATTTGAGAATGCCTTCTCAAACCATATCACCCAAAATGTTCATTAAAAGACTTACTCAAAGTGCAATGGATTTTAATTAAAGAATACAAAAAGTTATTGGAATGATATCAGTGTGGCAGTATAAATCATATATAAGCTATCATCACCTGCCTGGTTTTCTGTCATGTCACAGAAGGTCTGTGGTTATCTTGAAATGATTATGATGTATTCCTTCATTTTCAAATTCTGCTTGAGACTGGACTTTTTTCATATACTTCATTTATTTATTTATTTTTCTGTTTTTAGACATAGTACCACTTTTAGCTCTGACTGGCCTGGATCTCACTATTTAAAGCGGGTTGGCCTTAACGTCCTGGCAATCTCCCTGTCTCAGCCCTCAAATGTTGGGATTATGAGTACTAACCACTACAACAGGTTTTCTTCATACATTTCAGCTAAATAATAAACCTGTATCTATAACTCACAATAATTTAAAAGGTGAATAACTCAAAGTAACTCATATACATATATATATATATATATGTATATCTGTTCCTCTCTATAGTTCCACTCATTAAGAAACTATAAAATTATAAAGTAATACTCCCCTTTTTCTAACTCTTTTATTTAAAAAAATTAAATTGTGTTTCATAAAATGTCATTTACAATTAATGTGTTTATTGTTAACACCCAAAACAAATTAGTGTTTTCTTTTAAATCCATCATCAGTTTTGCTTATAAATTGATAAGCATAAGTAGATGTGTTCCAGATGGGCAAGGCACACAGAGGCCTTAATAATCTTAAAAACAATAAAGCAAAAAGAAGAAGAAGAAGGAATCATTGACCTTAATAAGATATAGAATTTGTATTTTGCCATCTAGAACAAAGAAAAATTGCAATTATGGACAAAAGAAACAGAATGCAATAGAAGCAAAAATAATAAATATTTAAGATAATTTTTCTAGTATTTAGCTGGTTCCTTCCACCTAAGATGAATTTTTCAATATAAGTCATGTGAAAATAATCATTTTAAGATTCGCTTTTGCTTAGAAGCAGCATTCTGTCACAAAATTTCACTTATTAAAATACACTGAATAACTGTCACACTCTAGGGAGACAAATTATCAGATGTGGCTTAAGCTGTGTATAACAGAGTGCTCACAGCCTCGGATCCATTATTCTTTGTTTTCTTCTTTCTCTGGCAGTCTTAGGAACTGAACCCAGGACCTTGCTTCCCACAATTGAACTACAGCCTCAGCCTTTGCATTTGAGGGACAAGGTTTTACAGCAAAGCCCAAGCAGGCCTCGAACATGTGATTCCCCTGGATCTACTCCAACAATGCTGGATTCCAGGCCGGTCCTCCACATTCCCTCCATTATCCGTTTTGTAGTTAAATGAGTTTTAAAGAACACGAGTCTGATTTTGTCCCTGCCAATCAAACCAAAGCGTTGATGCATTATCTATCCACCCAGAGCTGATGTGAAGGGAATGACCCCTGCAGTGTGTGTGTGGTTCTCATCATCTCACTTTCCATTTTGTGTTCTATTCTTGTATTCTCTCAATAATCCACACTCTTAGGGAGGATTCTTTTTCTATTTGTTTGTTTCTTTTGTTTTGTCTTGTTTTGTATCAAATCTTCTGAGTTTCAACCCAATATTTAAGTACATAGACTTTGAAAAAGATTTTATTTTTACTTCTGTGTATGTGTATGTGTCTCTGCGTATGACTTTGTGCGTGTGTCTAGTACCCATGGAGGCCAGAATAGGGTGTCAAATTCCCTGGAGCTGGAGTTCTAGACATTGTGAGACACGTGATGCGGGTACCATGACCTGAACATGGGTCTTCTAAAGGATGATCAAGTGCTCTTAGCTGCTGAGCCATCTCTGCAGCCTTCAGTTTTACTGATTTTATATTTATCGTATACTGTGTTTTTTCTACTAATGTACAATACATGATGAGATCTTATTATAATTTACAATGTAAAAGACTGAGACAAGTAAGACCTTCAAGGTCATTGGGAGGAAAGGATTAGCATTTAAATTCCAGTCTTCTGATCTAAGGTTTCTGATAACTCAGTGCACTAATGTGGTCAGAGAGATGCCCATATGCATCTAGGATCTAAAGCTCCATGACCCATCTGTTCAGAACTTTGAGAAACATATTACATCTGTCTTCAGTGTTTTACATCACCCATTCATTGCACTAGCTCACCAGAAATATGGTCCTCGTACCCAACCTAGCTTTCTAGTCCTGTTCCACGTGAAGGGCACTGTCATGTCATTCAGCATGAATTCTAATCTCTAGAAAAAGCACCCTACTTAAAAAAAAACCCATATGTTACATTATAATCTATTTTACTTTGAATTTCCTCAACCTAAACTAAAAGTGTTACATTTCTTGATGTTTGTTTGGTCACGGTCTGGTGCTAATCAGCCTTTGGAGGATGTCCATAGAGACCAACATCGTTTGTAGCTCAGGCACTTCCAGAGCTCTTGTCGCTTACCACACTCTATGAAAACGCTTGGAAAGTTATAACTCTGAAATGAATAATGTAGACTTACTTGCTGACTTTTTTAACGATTGACTCTTTTTACTTTATATGCTATGTTATTCAAACCAGGTGATGTTATTCATTATTCAAATCATATAACATGCATCATTTTTAATAAAAATTATAAAAATAGCTGGGAAGTGGTGGTGCATGCCTTTAATTACAGTATTTGGGATGCAGAGGCAGGCAGATCTCTGTGAGCTTGAGGCCAGCCTGATCTACAAAGGGAGCTCCAGGAAAGCCAGGACAACATAAATAAACCCTGTCTCAAAATACAACAAAAATAAAAAAATTAATAAGAGATTGATGTAGAATTACATCTCATGCCTACTATTTCCTCATTTTAGTTTAACCTCATCAGAATAGAATAATTGTTCTTGTGACTTACTATTGTAAATATTTTCTTGAGTTCATTTATATATTACTTTTATGTATACTTTGGATTCTTCAAAAGAGGGTGAATGATTTAGTTCCCCTGCAAAACTGAAATACTTATTCTCTTTTCTTCATATCTCATAAAGCTGAGCTACAATCTGATATAATAGAAGCACAGTGATCAACATATAAACAGTAACCTTGAGTTCAGTAAAAGATAAAAAGTCATAAAAAATATGATGTAATTTATTTTGTTTTGTAGATAAATGATGATGGTGATGGCGATACACTGAATTTATAGTTCTTGGAAATCACCATGTTTAATTATTACAGTGTTTTTATTCACCTGAGTTGTTGAATGTTTGGTATATGGTTCCCATCAATCAGTGTTTGTGCTTTAGAAATTGGTTTAATCACCAACTTCCTGAAATAATAGATTTTTTTTTTCAGAGAAGTCTGACTGCTCCTACTAGTTTGGGTGTTACTTATGAGAATTAAGTGTGTAAGAAAATGAAGCCGGGCGGTGGTGGCACACGCCTTTAGTCCCAGCACTCGGGATCCAGGTGGATCTCTGTGAGTTCGAGGCCAGCCTGGTCTCCAAAGCGAGTTCCAGGAAAGGCGCAAAACTACACAGAGAAACCTTGTCTCGAAAAACCAAAAAAAAAAAAAAAAAAAAAAAAAGAAAATGAGATAAAAAGATGGTCTGTTTGTATTCATATTACAATTAGGGTATGGTGATAGCTATCCCAAGATAACCCAAGAAACATTTAAAGTACAAGATAATCATTAGAGTTGTAAAAGAAACACCAGTGTGTCTGAGAGCATCCTCCTCTGGAAAATATAAGTGCCTGATGAATTCTGACTTTGAGGTGCTTATATCCTTCCCATCTCTTAGGAAAAAGGAAATGCTGAAGAAGATAATTTTCAGAAACAGGGTGGAAATGTAAAGAACCATGAGCATGTGTTTATGCTACACTCACACTGGTAAAGAAGGCTGCTGTATGTACATCAAATCACACATCTCTGTAGATGAATTTCTAAATGGTCTTATTAAATAAAAAACACAGAGAGATCAGGGAAATGCGGAAAGCCACCAGTCAACCTTACCTTATCAACTCTGCAGCTTCCAAATGTGAGTTACTTCCTGTCTACCCACGTCTATATGCCTTGCTGTTCTGCCATCTGATTTGCTCTCTGTCCAGCTACATCACTTTCTCTTCCTGCACAGCTCTGTCACTTTCTGTCTGTCTGTACAGACCTCCAGACCTCCATGGTTTACTAGTATTGCAATTAAGGTGTGTGCCACCACACCTGGCTCTCTTTCTAGTGTGGCCTTGACCACATGGAGATCCTGCCTGCTAAATGATAGGATTAAGGGTGTGTGCTACCACTGCCTGACTTATTTGTTTACTTTTAATGGCTGGCCTTTACCCTCTAATCTCCAGGCAAGCTTTATTTATTAAAGAACAAATAAAATATCACCACATTTCAGCACAAATAAAATATCACCACACATCTCATATTTATCTTTTTCTTCACTTCAAGTGCCTGTGACTATTTAGTAGTTCAAATACTCTGGCTTTCTGAAAAGTCACCTTCTCATCACCTTCTCCCAGTTCTCCTTTCAGGCTTAAGCTACTGTGAAGGACAGGAGGTAAGAAAACCAGCATTTTCTTATCAGCTCTCTGCCATTTGAAGTGAAGGACTCATCTCTTGCAGACTCCAAGTGAGCAGAAAAACAATAGTCCTAAATAGTCTCCTGCTCACATACCAGCTCCTGTTGACAGTTATCCTAAAACAAATGCCTGCAGAATAAACATTGGAATAGGCACTCGGCCATCCAAGACCATGCTAAAGCACTGGTTCTCAGTTGGAATAAAGATTGTATCTGTTAAATTTGTAGTGCATATTCACAAATTATATACATTTTTTCAGGCTAATAGTTTTATTTTTGGCTAGATTTATTGGCTAAGCAGCATGTAGAGTCACAGAGAAGCTATAAAAATAATTTGCCTAAGGAACTGTCTGTTTAAAATTCTATCAGTGCAGCTCCATGCTTGCCATGAATCAGAATGAGTCTCACAGCTTCTGGTCATGTGTTCATGAGGCATGAATAATGAGTGCTAGGTTCTGAATCTGCTGCTACTTCATCTCTGGTTTGCAGAGGCTGGAACTTGGAGAGCATAGCAAATAAAAAGTGAGGCTGATTCTCGATTGACTTTGTGGATAGATGGAGTGGAGCACTTGGATGACCTGGTTTGTGGGATCTAAGGATGCCCTGACAGAAAACATCCTTTTGAATACATAATTCATAGTCTGAACTCCTATCATACAGTAGACAAGTCTCCTCATGAATCCTTCTCACTGGAAAGTGGATATGTTTATATGGTTTTTAATTTTTTATTTACTATTTCTCTCTCTTTCTCCCTCCCCCCCTCTCTCCCTTCCCCTCTCTCTCTTCCCTCCCCCTCTACTCCCTCTCTCCTTCTTTTCTTTTTCCTCCTTCTCCCCTCCCTTTTTCCTCTCTCTCATCCTTCTCTCCCTTTTCTCTCTCTCCTCCCTCTCTTTCTTTCTCTCTACCCTCTTTATTCCTTCTTTTCCCCTCCTCACATCTTTGTCTTAGCTACTATCAAGGTTAGGGCTATTTTGTTATGATGAAAAAACATGAACAAAAGCAAGTTCGGAGAGGAATATTTGGCTTCTGCTTCCACATCATAGTCCATCATTGAAGGAAGTCAGGACAAGAACTCAACCAGGGAAAGAACCTAGAGGCAGGAACTGATGAAGAAGCCATGGAGGAGTGCTGCTTACTGGCTTGTTCAGCCTGCCTTTTTATAGAACCCAGGACTATCAGCACAGGTATAGCCACATCTATAATGAACTGGGCCCTCCCACATTGATCAATAATTAAGAAAGTGCCCTACAGGATTGCTTACAGCCTGATCTTATGGAGTCAGTTTCTCTATTGAGGCTCCCTCTTCTCCAGTAACTTCAGCTGCTGTCAAGTTGACATAACAATAGCCAACACAGTATGTGTATTGTTCACATGGGTGCACACACTTATGCAGAGGTGGGATTGCATCAGATATCTTTCTCAGTCATTTCTCTGCCTTTTATTTAAGACAGGGACTCTATTTGAGCCTGGAGTTTATTGATTTTAGTTGGCTGGATGCTAGCGAACTATTCAGGATCCACATGTCTCTGCCTTTCCCGCAACAGGATTACAGATATGCACTGCCCATGCCTAGCTTTTTACATGACTGCTGGGGATATAATACATAAGAGAAAAATCTTAGGGTCACAGCCTTAGACAAAGCACTGTCAGCAATTAAGGAACGCTAAGCCTGGGATTAAATAACCTTCCATAGGGAAGAGCCCCCTCAATTTGTTTACCAATACCAAGTGGTCATCCCTGGAGTCATATTCATATAAGTAACATTATATGAATTGAGCAGATTGTATTTATATAGGAATACACACACAGCAGTTAAAGAAAAAGGTCATGGATTTGAAAGAGAGAAATTGGGTTTCATGGGAGAAGTTAGGAGTAGGGAAAGGAAGGGGAAATTATGTAACTATATTTTAATTTTAAAAAAAAACAATAGATGATGTTACAGTACTTTTTTATAAGTGATATCTTTACTTACTAAAAATATGCAAAAATGGACAACCTCTCTGTTACAGAATGCCCTCTGAGGATAACTGTTATTCCTTTCATTATCAGAGTAGCTGTGACTACTTGCTGAAAACTATCAAGATCAGGCTTGTTAATCTTCCCTCATAGAAGAGGGGAGGGAGAGGCTTCATAATACCTCAACAGAGATTTCGACCCCTCCTGCCACATCTTGCTCCTAGCTATTTATGATTCTCCCCAAACTGCACATGGTCTTGTGGTCCCAGGAGGTAGTATGGTATATACAATGTGGAATATTAGCTAAAGGGAAGACTCCACTTACATAGCCTTAGAGAAGTTGTCATCCATTCTGCAGTAAGACTTTTCTTTGGTGTAGCTGTTTGGGGGTCGCCCATGTTCCTGTAAATAATCACTCTGTAGACTGAAGTTTCTCAGTCCTGCCTTGTCCCACGTAGGTAGCAGCTGTTTTTATAAAATAATAAAATAATCACTCAGAGGCTTAATATTAATTATAAACTGTTTGCTCTATGGCTCAGGCTTATTGCTAGCTAACTATCACATCTTAAAGTAACCCATTTCTGTTGATCTATTTATCACCATGTGTCTTGCGGCTTTACCTGTGTTCTATTGCATCTTGCTCCTCTGGCAGTTAACAGGGTCTCTGTCAACTTGACCTTTCTTCTCCCTGTATGTCTCTTGGATTTCCTGTCTGAGTATAACCTGTGTTACCATAGGTCAAAGCAGCTTCTTTATTAACTAATAGTAGCAACACATAATCACATCATACAGAAAGACCATCCAACAGCATCACTCTCCCATGCTCTGTAAGTAAGTTAAGTAAACTCACTGTTTCGCTGATGTTAGGATGGACTTCAGTGGCCTCATAGTATTGTTGGTCACTGGTGCCTTATCTGGTATGACTCTCCAGAAAAAAAGTTCACACAATGTTCCCTAAAGGAAAATGTTCCACCAGAGATAAGTAACTTTATAAAGTAAGTAATACTTGAAGTCATGACTTAATTTCTCATCACTCCAGGTACAGAAATTTTCAAACTTTCTGGATAAAGCAGTCTAATCATTCATCTTGTCAGTCATTCAACAGTCCAGAAATCTGTTAGCTGCTCAAAGTCTCCTTCCAGGTCTCATGTTGCATAATTATTTCTGGTTGTTTCATGTATTTGCCTGTTTTCCTAGTCTGAGACCTCATCTTTTCTCAATTTTCCTCTCTGCTGGTTTGTTACAAAAGCTGTTTAATCTTCTCTCCATGTTCCTCACAGAAGAACTTCTCTCACATCAGTTCCCAGGAGTTTACAAGGTACATGAACATGTCCAGCACACTGTATGTTTAGTTGGAACATGTCTTGTGTCTCTACTATCACATATTTATTGAATCCTTACACTAATCCATGCATAAAATTCTGTTCACAAAAATAAGCTGGATTTTATTAATACATGACTTTCAATTTCTTCTTCACAGTTTTTTATCATATCTTAATTTTTCATTGTGATAAAATAATATCTTTCTAATAATAAAGTTAAGAGAACTCTCTTATGTTAAAAATATTACAGGCAAATCATTACTTCAGTCACATTCTTACTTATTTAGAGACCATATGTGAAAAGATGTACAGACTTGAGTGATAAGATCAAAAGGTAGATTATTGAATCTACTTTTTTTTAATTTATTTTAATTTTTTTTGCAATACAATTCAGTTCTACATATCAGCCACAGATTCCCTTGTTCTCCCCCCTCCAGTCCCCCTCACCTTCCCCCCAACCCCCCCCCCCATTCCCATCTCCTCCAGGGCAAAGCCTTCCCCACAGACTGAGGTCAACCTGGTAGACTCAGTCCAGGTAGGTCTAGTCCCCTCCTCCCAGGCCGAGCCAAACAATCCTGCATAGGCCCCAGGTTTCAAACAGCCAACTCATGCAATGAGCACAAGATCTGGTCCCACTGCCTGGATGCCTCCCAAACAGATCAAGCCAATCAACTGTCTCACCCATTCAGAGGGCCTGATCCAGTGGGGACCCCTCAGCCATTGGTTCATAGTTCATGTGTTTCCATTCATTTGGCTATTTGTCCCTGTGCTTTATCCAACCTTGGTCTCAACAATTCTCGCTCATATGAACCCTCCTCATTCTCGCTAATTGGACTCCCAGAGATCCACCCGGGGCCTAGTCATGGATCTCTGCATCCAGATCCCTCAGTAGTTGGATGAGGTTTCTAGCACAACAATTAGGGTGTTTGGCCATCCCATCACCAGAGTAGGTCAGTTCGGGCTGTCTCTCGACCATTGCCAGCAGTCTGTTGTGTGGGTATCTTTGTGGATTTCTGTGGGCCTCTCTAGGACTTTGCTTCTTCCTATTCTCATGTGGTCTTCATTTACCATGGTCTCCTATTCCTTGTTCTCCCTCTGTTGTTGATCCAGCTGGGATCTCCCGCTCCCCTAAGCTCTCTTTCTCTCAACCCTAGCCTTTCATTACCCCCACTCATGTCTAGGCTGTTCATGTAGATCTCATTCCATTTCTCTGTCATTGGGCGATCCCTGTGTCTTTCTTGGGGTCCTGTTTTCCAGGTAGCCTCCCTGGTGATGTGAGTAGCAGACAAGTCATCCTTGTTTCATGTCTAGTATCCTGCTATGAGTGAGTACATACCATGTTTGTCTTTCTGAGTCTGGGTTACCTCACTCAGGATGATTTTTTCTAGATCCATCCATTTGTCTGCAAACCTCATGATGCCATTGTTTTTCTCTGCTGAGTAGTATTCCATTGTGTATATGTACCACATTTTGTTTATCCATTCTTCAGTTTGAAGGGCATCTGGGTTGTTTCCATGTTCTGGCTATTACAAACAATGCTGATATGAACATAGCTGAACAAGTGCTCTTATGGTGTGGTTGAGCATTTCTTGGGTATATGCCCAAGAGTGGTATAGCTGGATCTTGGGGGAGATGGATTCCCAATTTTCTAAGAAAGCGCCATATTGATTTCCAAAGTGGTTGTACAAGCTTGCATTCCCACCAGCAGTGGAGGAGAGTTCTCCTAGCTCCACATCCTCTCCAGCATAAGGTGTCTTCAGTGTTTTTGATCTTAGCCATTCTGACAGGCATAAGGTGGTATCTCAGAGTTGTTTTGATTTGCATTTCCCTGATGATTAGGGATGTTGAGCAATTCCTTAAATGTCTTTCGGCCATTTGAGTTTCCTCTGTTGAGAATTCTCTGTTTAGTTCTATAGCCCATTTCTTAATTGGACTGTTGGGCATTTTGATGTCTAATTTCTTGAATTCCTTATATATTCTGGATATCAGTCCTCTGTCAGATGTGGGGTTGGTGAAGATCTTTTCCCGTTTGGTAGGCTGTCGCTTTGCCTTGTTGATCGTATCCTTTGCTCTACAAAAGCTTCTCAGTTTCAAGAGGTCCCATTGATTGATTGTTTCTCTCAGAGTCTGTGCTACTGGTGTTTTATTTAGGAAGTAGTCTCCTATGCCAATGCGTTCAAGACTACTTCCTACTTTCTCTTCTAGCAGGTTCAGAGTAGCTGGATTTATGTTGAGGTCCTTGATCCACTTGGACTTAAGTTTTGTGCACGGTGATAGATATGGATCTATTTGCAGCCTTCTACATGTTGATATCCAGTTTTGCCAGCACCATTTGTTGAAGATGCTTTCTTTTTTCCATTGTGCACTTTTGGCTTCTTTGTCAAAAATTATATGTTCATAGGTGTGCGGATTAATGTCAGGGTCTTCAATTCGATTCCATTGGTCCACATGTTAGTTTTTATGCCAGTACCAAGCTGTTTTTATTACTGTGGCTCTATAGTAGAGCTTGAAGTCAGGGATCGTGATGCCTCCAGAAGTTGTGTTATTGTACAGGATTGAATCTACTTTTAAAAGGCAACTACGATTTTAAATATTTTACGTTGGATCGAGTTTTTGTATATTGTATACAAATTATGTATATTGATAAAAATTTGAGATTGATTTTAGAAAATACTGTACATATATTTTTAAACTTGTTCAAGGTATTGTACCTATACAGTTCATTTAACAATGTAATGAAAATTGCTAGTCCTTGAAAGTTAGTTTTATCAATCAATTAATTAGGGTATAAAGAAATGAAAGTTAGTAGTTAGTCATTATAATCAAACTTGTACTTATTTTAGTTATGTTTTCAAGGTTAAACAGAAATATATTTTAGATAGGCAGGCCATTTTCAAACAATTCAGAGATCTATAGAATATGCCATTTAAAATGTTTTAACAGCATAGATTATTTTTTTATGACAATGAGACATGTCTGCTCCTGGCAGCACCACCATGATAGGCATTGAAAAAACTCCCAATGGAGCTTACTCTCAATATGGCAAAAGTTAGCCACTGGGCAAAAAAGTACCCTTGCCTTGACTGCTTGACTGTAGGCCAAAAAGGATGCCCTAACATTGCAGAGAAACCTTGGGTGACTGTCCAGGCAACTGGCCGTTTCTGTCATAACTCACATTTTTTGGAATTTGCTTACTTGCACTTCCTGTTTTACTAGGTAATATTTCCTTCTCGGGTCTCAGAGGGAGTTGAAGATTAGATAGTTATAGACATAGTTTTCCTGTTAAGAAATTCAGAACAGAAACTCACTAAGAGGTGTAAGGTATGTAAGTTTGAAAGACATCAAAAGACTGTTTTCAGTTGGTAACACAAGTTGGGATGGAAAATAAATTAGGTGCATTTTGGAATCACTGAAATAGGATAGATAATGGAGTTATTTTCACTGACATTGTCAAAGGCAAATAGATTAGACATTGTTGATATATTTATTGCCTGTATGTATTTCATATAGTTATTGTACTTTTTGTACATAGTTTTTCTTATATTAGTTATGACCTTCTTTTATTATTTTAGACAAAAAAGGGGAAATGTGGTGATATATTGTGTACCCCAATTATTATGTATCATAATAAACTTACCTGGGCCAGATACTAGATTAAACATAGAGGCCAGACAGTGGTGGCATATACCCTTAATCTTATCACTTGGGAGTCAGAGATCCACGTGGATCTCTGTGAGTTCAAGGCTACACTGGGGACAGAGTCAGGCAGTGGTAGCACATGCCTTTAATCCCAGCATTTGAGATCTCATGCTTTTGCTTGGGAATCACATAGCCTTTATGTGGTGATATTTTACTTGTACTGAAATGTGATTTTAATTGTATGTTAATAAATAAAGTTGTCTGGGGGTCAGAGCTATTAGAGCCATAGCAAGTGTGTGGCGGCAGTGGCGCACGCCTTTAAGGACCTGGAGGGCGGTACATTCAGGCAGTGACGAGGCAGTCACATGTTTGGGTTTACAACCAATGAGAAGGCAGAACAGGAAGACTTTAAAGACATACACACAGGAAGTAGGCCCTTTTCGGAGAGCTCTCTTGGCTGAAGAGGATCGCTGAAGCAGGAAGGGTGAGACTCTTAGCTCTGACCTCTTGGCTTTCTTCTCTGAATCGGCTCTGTGTTTCTTATTTAATAAGACGGTTGGTTACATCTACATTTGGCGCCCAACGTGACAAGAATCCATTAAAAACCGCTTAACTTGGCTTGGCGGCAGGTCCGGTTTCCCGCCAGGGCACCTTTAATCCTAGGAAGTGACATGGCTGGATGAAGAATGGTATATAAGGTGTAAGAAGACAGGACCAAAGCAGCGGTTTAACTGAGACCCTCAGGGGTAAGGGCCCAGAGGCTTCCAGTCTGAGGAATCATGGAAACCAAATGAGCTGGAAAATTGGCAAGGTGAGGTTGGCTGTGGCTTGTTCTGTTTCTCTCATCTTTCAGCTTTCAATACCTGGTTCCAGGATTTTTTATTAATAAGACCATTTAGCAATTCACATTACATTTATCCATATTCTCTCTTTTTTCTTTTCAGAGTAGTTTCAATAATCTACCTTTTAACTTATATCTATATCCTCTTTTTTTCTTTTATTTTCAAACAAGAACCTTAAATCTAATCTCCTTTGTTTAGCCTTTTTCCTGACCACTAACAATAACAACTTGTAACCAACCATCCTAAACAGTGACAGTTATCTATAATCCATTGAAAGACCAAAAATCACCCACCCACCTGCCTCTTGGGAATTTGGATGTTGTATTCTTAAAATTAACTTCCTGCTGATTGGGAACAAAAAGCATCTTTAGGAGATCCTGAAAAAAAATTTTAGGTTAATTGTCAAGTCCTGGGAGAGGAGTCTCTGCATAATTTGAAAGTTCAGGGCTTGTCTCAACTCCTTGCTTGAGTAGTCTGTGAGGCTGGATCATCTCAGCTAGCCATCTTGAAATTGTCCTGAGAAGTTTGTAGTCCAAAGCCAGTCTTTTGGGTGGTGTTTGTCAGCTTGGTGGCATTATCATTGTCCTGATGGAATCTTTGTTGTGGGGTTCTCTCATCTTTTTGGAGACTTCAAAGTCACTGTTAAGCATGGTCATGGTTCATTGCATAATCTTTTAGTGCCTACTCTGTTGTTTGGACCAATAGCAACTGTATCTGTTGCAGAATCATGTCTTACAACCAGTCCCAAGTTTGCAATAAAACAGGCTCCATTCTTTACCAAGATATTCTTTGATTTCAAATCTCTGTGAGCAATAACTGGCTTTCCTTGGGTACCAAAAATCCCAATGTGAAGAT